AACCAAATCAATCAAAACAGACAAGCACTTTATCCACACTTTCTGAAATGATTTTTGATTTTATTTTTAGTTTTAATTAACTGGGTACCTAGTATTAATAAATATTAATATTATAATATATAATAATATTAATAATTTTTTGTTATTTAATTTAAGAAGTTAGTGGCGATTTCAACGCCAGTAACTTCTAAATCGGTAGCCCTGTCGTTGATTGCTTTTGTGCGCGTGAACCGAATTGTTCGAAAAGCGATGCGTTCGAAACTCGAGGTTTGACTGTGTATTCACAGATATCATTTGAAATGTAGCTACACACACACATATATATATATATATATAGCTACATTTCAAATGAGTAGAGTCTACAGTAATGACTGCATAGAAAACATGGCGGTTCATAGCGTAGAAAAAGTATGCTGACTGAATTTTAGAAGTGGCGGAATCAAGAGTTGGACCAGGATCGCAGCATAGCAAGAATTTTGTGTTATTGAATATGACTTAGTTTATATCTTATTCTTCGAATTTTTCCTGTATTCTTCGGAATGAACGACACTGGTTAAAATAAGTAGAGATAAAGTTAGCATATATTGCAGAAAATTCAAATGTTAATTTTATTTTTTAATAGAAAATAAATGAAATTACAATGAAAATTATTTTAAAATATTATTCAACTTCCTGTTATAATTTCATCATACAGTAATTTGTTACATTTTATTTCTCTAGTTATTACAATCAAAATTATTAAAATTTCACAAAAGTGATCATAAAATCTCATTTATAGAAATGAGATTTTATGATCACTTTTGTGAAATTTTAATAATTTTGATTGTAATAACTAGAGAAATAAAATGTAACAAATTACTGTATGATGAAATTATAACAGGAAGTTGAATAATATTTTAAAATAATTTTCATTGTAATTTCATTTATTTTCTATTAAAAAATAAAATTAACATTTGAATTTTCTGCAATATATGCTAACTTTATCTCTACTTATTTTAACCAGTGTCGTTCATTCCGAAGAATACAGGAAAAATTCGAAGAATAAGATATAAACTAAGTCATATTCAATAACACAAAATTCTTGCTATGCTGCGATCCTGGTCCAACTCTTGATTCCGCCACTTCTAAAATTCAGTCAGCATACTTTTTCTACGCTATGAACCGCCATGTTTTCTATGCAGTCATTACTGTAGACTCTACTCATTTGAAATGTCGCTATATATATATATATATATGTGTGTGTGTGTGTGGGATTTGGGCGAGAAGTAAAAAGACGAGAGTTGGCGATGGCGCGAGAAGAGAAGCCAGACGACTGTTTAAGAAAAAGGGCGCGAAAAAGGACGAAAGACGTTACGATCGTAGAACATTCATCGTTCTATCGATAGGACGGTTGGTAGATTTAGCTGAACGCTGGAAAATTATTGTTATTTCTAGTTTTCTAGTTCTGCCAAAATTCCTCATATTTAAATGAGGATGTTTGTTTGCTATACTGGGCCGTTTGACCGGATGGCCTATCGTTCCAAATGGCAGCCTACCGCTCTGGGGAGGGATCTATCTGGGTCGAAAATTCCCCAGGAATTTTTCGGGGAGTGGTCCGTCCGGATATGTTGGGTCCCGTCCCTCGCCACTGGGTCCTCTCATTGTGGGCCTGGCCGAACCCATAATGGGCTTACTTAAAGAGCCCACAGGGCGAAAAGAGTTACTGTTACAAAAATTGCCACTTGTAAAATTGTTAGCAGCATTAAAAGTGATTGATGAAATAAAAAAAAAGTGATAATTATAAAACAAGAAAAAACGGAGAAGCCATTCTTGGGACGAGACCGTCTCGGAGAGCGCGAGCAACGCGTGCGCAAAACTCGCGCCTGTTCGTAGAAAGTTTCACCATTTTGTATTTTATTTTGACCCGGGTCTCGTTCCCGACTACTTACAAGCAGTGTTCCCCAACCGTTCGTAAATATCGTTACATTTTAAAATAAAAGTCGCAAATTTCGCCACATATTTTGAAAAGTCGCTATTCAATAAACAACAAATGTTCAAATAGTCGAAAGACTTTATTACAAAAATTTATTGATACAATACGAAATATCCAATTACGAATCCTCCTTTATATGTTGATAGTACCAGTTCTTTAACACAACTCCTCTGAATCTCCATTGACTGAGTCTCTCTCTGGTTCTTTTCTCGTCGTCCCCGTCCCTCTCCTCACTCGATTCCCCAAGAATGAACAAAAACCGTCTCTCTACGTTGTGATGTCGGTCGATGCCCTTTCCAGCCAAAACTAACCAGAAACAAACACTTAGCGGTTAAGAGTTAAGAAGGGAAAAGCGACAAGCGTTAATTAGAGAGATAAAGGGAGGACATATAAATTAACGACTTACTTAATGAAACCTACATATATATAACGGGGGATCCCACCACATCACTCCGAATACAAATTTCATTATCCAATAACTTCTTAATGATTAATTTTGGAAAATTCAATAATAATAATAATGTTTATTGTAATTTAAATGTTGAAGAATCCTCTCGTTTGTAATTTGTACTAGAATAAATTTTGAAAATTAATACGTTAAATTTATTCCTACAGAGGGCGATAATGTAGCTGTTAGCTAAATACATGTGAATTTTGAATTCTGGCACTGGTTTAGGTATTCAATGTTTATACAAATTAAAACTATTAATAACATTTGTTTCTTCAACGATTGACTAACTTGAATTCTCATAAAAAAATATTTACTAACTGCACTTGATTTGTTTCTAAATGGAGTCTTAAGTAGAAGAATGTATAAATTACGGATCAATCTTTTACCTACGTGCACCGTCATGGCGGCTGTTTCCTTTCTTCTGTTTGTTGGAATCGGGGAACAGTGGGGACGCATGTTCTAACCTAAGCTAACGTATTCTAATGATTTGGTAATTTATTAGAATAAGTGAAATTTTTGCATGGACTGGCAGTTGAAAAGCACTGACTGTGAGTTACAGCATTTATGGAAGAATTTGAATTAAGTTCTTTAAATAGAGTTCAGGTGTATAAAGATTCCAATAAAATTAAATACTAATATTTAGCACTTGTATCATGCATTAATTTCAGTCGTTTAAGTTTAAATATGTATATATATATATTATCATGTTATAATTAAAACTGTTACAAAAATTGCCACTTGTAAAATTGTTAGCAGCATTAAAAGTGATTGATGAAATAAAAAAAAAGTGATAATGTATAAATTTTTAAAAATAATACACTTTTCTAAAGAAAGTATTTTTATGTTTAGATTTGCTACATTTGGAAAGTAAAAAAGTGGGACACAATATTTTCCTTGTCAAAGATGCATGATGGAAAAATAGACTTGAAAGAAGAAAACAGTAAAATGTGTAAATATAAGAATGAAATATATTAATATATTATATCACATACCTTAAAAAAAAAAAAACACTACAGCTCCCAATATTTAGATATATTTTAAATGTGTACTTTTTTATTTGGCCTTTATGGCTGCTTCTATCAATGTTGGTTAGTTTTACAAAACTAAAAACGTATGAAAAACTTGTTAAAATTGATTTGAATCTGTAATGTTGCTTTTACAAATGTTATGTTTAATGAAAACAATCATATAGCATACTCCACAATTTTTAGCATATTTGGAGCATCTGTTGTTTTTAAAAAATTCCACCTGCATTAAGTTAATATTTTTCTTGGGATTTAACCTGCATATGAGTAAGACTGAAGCAGATTTGTTTTTTGTGTCTTTCAAACTATTAAAATAATATAATTCAGTGTGTTCAATAATTAAAATGCTGTAGTATTTACAAAAGTCCCAGAAAGTGGTTAAGAATATAATGCAGTTACTTACACATAAACTAAAGCACCACACTACAACTGTAAATTCCTACAATAAGAAAGTAAAAGTCAACCATTAAGGTTGAGTCTTAAATAAAATCACTACACACTACACTGCAAGACATTACTATCTCTAGTCTTATCTGCACTCTGTGCAAGAAGTTTTGGCATGCACCAGCCTTGCAAATTAATGTATAAATAATATAAATTTTTTGCCCATTTTCTCTTGTCTTACTTAGAGCCAGCATTTGCTTTAGGACATGGGACTTAATAAACATAAGTGGGATAGATAGCAACCTTACATATGTTTGATATCTTTAATAATCAAATTAAAATCCAGTTTATTATTGATGATAAACAGATTTATCATTAAAAAATTAATATAATGAAATGTAATGTTTTGAATATTATGCTCCTTTAAAGGTTTAATGTTTGTATTAAATTAATTTTGAACATAAAATTCAGTGTTAAAATGAAAGAAATTTAATGTATCAAAGAACTATAAATGTTAAAAAAACTGTTAGAAAATATTAAAGCAATGAAGAATATTAAAAGTATAGAAAAAATACTTTTATTGTACCAATAAAAGTATTTTTTACAACAACTATATTACAATGAAAATATTACAACTTGTTTTTTTTTTCTTTAAATGTTTTCATAATAATAATTGANGGTCCTCTCATTGTGGGCCTGGCCGAACCCATAATGGGCTTACTTAAAGAGCCCACAGGGCGAAAAGAGTTACTGTTACAAAAATTGCCACTTGTAAAATTGTTAGCAGCATTAAAAGTGATTGATGAAATAAAAAAAAAGTGATAATGTATAAATTTTTAAAAATAATACACTTTTCTAAAGAAAGTATTTTTATGTTTAGATTTGCTACATTTGGAAAGTAAAAAAGTGGGACACAATATTTTCCTTGTCAAAGATGCATGATGGAAAAATAGACTTGAAAGAAGAAAACAGTAAAATGTGTAAATATAAGAATGAAATATATTAATATATTATATCACATACCTTAAAAAAAAAAAAACACTACAGCTCCCAATATTTAGATATATTTTAAATGTGTACTTTTTTATTTGGCCTTTATGGCTGCTTCTATCAATGTTGGTTAGTTTTACAAAACTAAAAACGTATGAAAAACTTGTTAAAATTGATTTGAATCTGTAATGTTGCTTTTACAAATGTTATGTTTAATGAAAACAATCATATAGCATACTCCACAATTTTTAGCATATTTGGAGCATCTGTTGTTTTTAAAAAATTCCACCTGCATTAAGTTAATATTTTTCTTGGGATTTAACCTGCATATGAGTAAGACTGAAGCAGATTTGTTTTTTGTGTCTTTCAAACTATTAAAATAATATAATTCAGTGTGTTCAATAATTAAAATGCTGTAGTATTTACAAAAGTCCCAGAAAGTGGTTAAGAATATAATGCAGTTATTTACACATAAACTAAAGCACCACACTACAACTGTAAATTCCTACAATAAGAAAGTAAAAGTCAACCATTAAGGTTGAGTCTTAAATAAAATCACTACACACTACACTGCAAGACATTACTATCTCTAGTCTTATCTGCACTCTGCGCAAGAAGTTTTGGCATGCACCAGCCTTGCAAATTAATGTATAAATAATATAAATTTTTTGCCCATTTTCTCTTGTCTTACTTAGAGCCAGCATTTGCTTTAGGACATGGGACTTAATAAACATAAGTGGGATAGATAGCAACCTTACATATGTTTGATATCTTTAATAATCAAATTAAAATCCAGTTTATTATTGATGATAAACAGATTTATCATTAAAGAATTAATATAATGAAATGTAATGTTTTGAATATTATGCTCCTTTAAAGGTTTAATGTTTGTATTAAATTAATTTTGAACATAAAATTCAGTGTTAAAATGAAAGAAATTTAATGTATCAAAGAACTATAAATGTTAAAAAAACTGTTAGAAAATATTAAAGCAATTGAAGAATATTAAAAGTATAGAAAAAATACTTTTATTGTACCAATAAAAGTATTTTTTACAACAACTATATTACAACAGAAATATTACAACTTGTTTTTTTTTTCTTTAAATGTTTTCATAATAATAATTGAGAGAGTCATGTCATTGAAACTTATTTTACAAAAAAATTTTACTTATACATAAGTAGCATTATAAAAATCAAAAAAAAATTATATATATAATTATATATAATAAAAAATTATTATTATATTAAAATATATAATTATATAATAAAAAATAAATACTTATATATATACTGTATATATATATAGTAATTGAAAGCAAAAAATTAAAATTCATGCATTTTTATTAAATTTGTAATGCCTTAAGTAGCAGTAATAAAAAATAATTAAAAATGTATGAAAATTTTTTTGTTTTTAGTTTAAATGTCAAAAATTCAAGTTTAATGCTGTACTAAGATAAACAACTTCCAACAACTTAACACTGCGTTGAATAATAACAATCCACGATAAACCTTTTTTTACAAGTGTTATGTCACTAGCGGTTTAGCACGTGCATGCGCCCGCCGCCCCCCTCACCGCAGGGACTGCCCCCTACCATCGCCGGACGACAACCGTCAACTGGATGGGAACGCGAGATGCGCGGTCGTACGCTTCAACCGGCACCTAGACCCCCTATATAGGAAGATCGCTAGCAACAGCCGCACCAAAATCGCGTACTTAAGAACCGGCACGCTTTACGACTTGCTGCGCAACACGAAGGACGCAATGGATCTCACCAGGGCCCCAGGTGTTTACTCCATTCCCATACAGGACGACAGATTCAATAGAGACTTAGTTTACATTGGCTCCACCATCCGATCAACACAGAAACGAATACGTGAACACCAAGCTGATATTAAGCATAAAAGACACACCACGGCCTTATCGACCTATGTCACCGACCCTGAAATAAGGGCGGACTTCCGGAACACCAAACTTATCAGACACGCGTTCCGCGCGGATCACATCCGTCACCTGGAGGCCTGGGAGATTCACAAAGCTAACATGGGGGGCAACTGCATCAACTACAGGGATGGGGAAACACTTGCACAGGCGTGGAAGTATTTATTCGAGGAGTTTGAGCAATGGCGGTCAGAGGGGTGAAACCCGACGCGCACATTTATTTATTTACATCGTTGGCAACATCGTTATGATGGTCGGGTCGAAACATGGCCAGTCACCACCTGAAGCAGACCTCGGTGGAGGTCGAAAGTACTTGTGGAATGTAATAGTGACATAACACTCGTAAAAAAAGGTTTATCGTGGATTGTTATAATGCTGTACCTAACATAATTAAATATATTTGCAAGTTTTTGCAGTAAAATTTTAAATTATGCTAAGATTAAAGTTTACAGTAGTAGTAAAATTAGTATTAAAGTATTAAAAATTTAGTTTATTTAATTTAGATGGGATCAAAGATTCCACAAGCACCAATCCCACCACCTTTACCTCCATCAATACCTACAACATTTAATGCAAAAATTACTACTGAAAACACATTATTAAGTCAAGAAACTGAAATAACAAAAGCTTGCCAAGCATCCTGGAATTATATTACTAATGGGAAAGTTGATAGTTTTATTATTTCAGTGTATCATCAAGTGAAACCAATTCTTCAAGATGGACCGAAGTAAGATTAATTTTTAGTTTATTCGTGTATAAATAATACATAAGTAAAACTATTTAAAATATTTTTAGATGTGGTCTAGTTGCACTGTGTATGGCAAGTCAATTATTATCCAAAACTTTAATGGTTGATGCTGCTTTTGAGAGAGCAAAAGAATTAAGGTTTACAAAGAAAGGTGAAATGTTTTCAGGTGGGTGCTGTCAGTATTCATTGTAATGATACAATTAATACAATTCAATTATTTATTTGATTAAATNAAAATTGGATCCCCCAGTGGCCAAGTGGTTCTGTTCCCTGAACACTGGGAGTTTGGTTGTGGGTGTGTGCCTCTCCAGAATGGGCTGGCCATGTGGAGTTTTCCAGGTTTTCTCTACTTCTAAAGTTTAAACTATCTTGAGTAACTGGACTAATGTTATAAAATGATCAATACAATTATATGCCACCTGCATTTCTTTATTTATTACAGTTTACTGCAAGTTATCATTAACATTTCATTTTATCTCAAAAAGACACTTTCTCTTTGTTACTGTCTCATTGTCAGAAAATTTTTTGTTGTTTTGCTTTAAAATACAATATAAGTTACCAGTAATCAAAATATTAAATAAATTGTGTTATTTCCAAACCATAGTTAAGAAAATTGCAGTTAATAAGGAATGATGGCATTTCATAAAATATATTTTACTGTATATAATAATTTCCATAATTGAGTAAAGTTATGATGCTGATAGTAACCATGAGCCATGTTGTAAAAAAGGACATACTGCACATTGGGCTGTTATTACAGGTAATATTTTAACTTAAATATTTATCTAATTATTATTTATTTCAGATTGAGCAATTTATTTTCGTTTATTTTATTTGTTAACTAAAGATTATGGCATTATATATCATTATGTTTTAAAGCAGTGGCAGAGCAAGAGTCACACATCCAAAAATTTATAACTAAATGAAAGTATAAACACACACATTCAAATACTCCATACTTTTGTATGAAATATTTGAAAATTATTACTTTTTAATGACAAAGTGATAGTAACTAACTAGCTCCAGTGCATTGCACTATCTGCACCTAGCTAGTTATGCTATTGATTAGAAGATATTTTGTTCAAAAAAAATTCCACTTGGAGTCATTATTTATAGCATAATTTTTTTTAAAAAAGTTGATACAGCTATTCATTTAACTTATTCTTTTCAATTTTTATTTTCTTTTTCTTTTACTAATAATTAAATATATGAGAGAGTAATTTAATAAAGATATTAATCATTAGATTGTTTCCTTTAACATCATTAAACAAATTATTAAATTAGATATCATGTTTACAAAAATGAGCAAGGACAAGGGAATTGAAAAAAATATATTCATATTACAATATAAGAAATGCTTTAATGGACTATGTATAAATCATTACATAGATTTCAAGTACTATTCAAGATTTCAAGTAGAGTTATCTCACTTGTCTTCAGAAAAATCTTGTTTGTTTTTGCTTTCCAGAAGATATAATTCAATTGTTTGTGCATATTTCATTAAAGCATTTCTCTCATAGTTTTAGTTGTGGAGTTTTAATTTATTCATATATTTAATGAAGTTTGAAAAGTGAACAATACACTCTAAAATCTGTTAAGAAAGTGAAATACTGTAGTTGAGTTTTCTATAAAGTTTTCTTTCTTTATTGGACTATATTGGTAGCCTCAGTACAGACAGTCTGATTTTCATAATGTGAATGAAAGATGAAAAATGAAATATTTGTAAAAAACCTATGAAGATCCAGATTATATTCAATCTCATCCAAATTTCATAAATAATAGGAGGGTTTCTTACTTTATAACCAAAGTTTAAAAAGCAAGACTAGTTGGATAAATAAAAAATATTTGAATTTCTAGTTTAAATTTTTAATTAGAAATTTTATATTTTCTACATTTTAAAAAAACAAATACAAGTACACCATTGAATTTCCAGCACCCTTGATTCCAAAGCCCTGCTGGACCAACCATAGTCATATATAATAATAATTCATTAACACATACATCTAACCTACAAATATGTCTAAAATATACCATGGGCTGCTAGAAACTTGAATTAAATAAGTATTATATGTAAATTACATCTGACACACTCATCTCTCTTAGAAGCCATAGCTAGTGTTAAATTTAAGCAAAATAAACTAAAAACATTACAGAATGTGGTATAACTGCCAACAAGAGCCATTTCAATAATGTAAATAAGTGTATCCTACACACAATGTCATCTGTAATCACCCAGTGATTACTTTGATGGCCATGGAACTTTCAAGTTCCCTCTTGTATCTTTGTCCAGATTAAAGAATTTGTGTTGGACTATTGGTTGCCAGAATTTTGATGGTGTACCTGTATAAAAATCTTTTTAAAAAAAGAAATATGTTTTTTATGAGAGTATATCAATAAATAACCAGCCAAAGCAACAGTGTGGAATGTTCTTATTGGCTGGTTATTTATTGATCCACCCTTATATTTCTAATTCTAATTTTGAAAATTTAATCTAAAAAATTGTTTAATCTCTAATATTTTCCAACGTATAATATAGTATTTTCCAATCATGCTTATAAGATTTATTAATTTTTAATGTAGGCTTTTGCATCATTATTGATGAAAATCAATGTGAATCTTTGAAACTATGCTCAAAAGATACTGATCCATCTCATATCATTCATTGGAAAAACAATTCATTTCCTTTTAATGTTGATGAAAATACTCCAGTTTTTGTCTTTGCAAGACAAGGAAAGAGCAGTAGAGTACAAATTTGGAACTTTGATCAGTTATGTAAAAGCAATAAAAATTTATCAGAATTTAGTGTGAAACATATCGCGAGTGACTTCATTTTACCAAAAAATGGTATCCAAAATGAATTATCTAATCATGCTATTTTATTAAATAAATGCTGAAGAACTACAAGTCTGTAAGTAATTACTTTAATATTTAATTATTATTTATTTTTGTTTAAGATTGTATTTTATTGACTATATATTCACAAACTTTCAATGATATGTTTAGGCATTTAAATCCATAAAAAAGAAAAAAGAATTTATTGCTTGTAAATCTAGAAACATTTTGTTAGATATAACTGCACAAACTTCAAATTTTCTTTTTGTAATATATACAAAATGGACAATTTCAATAACTAATACAATATATAAAGTTTTATGAAGAACAGTACATTTTGCATTACAAAATTTNCCCGTGTGAGAATTTCTAAAAATCCCTTCTTAATGTACATTCTCATGGCATACCCTACTACAACGCAGATAAAAACAAAAAATTGCATTTAAAATAGCATAGTAGAAGCCGTTTTTCCAGTTAAGCCTTAATGTTCTCCCTCACCCCCGCGGGGAAATTTCTAAAAATCCCTTCTTAGTGTGTATTGCCATGGCGTACCCTACTAAAACGCAGATAAAAACAAAAAATCGCATCTAAAATAGTACAGTAGAAGCCGTTTCTATGGTTAAGCCTTAATGCTCTCCCTCACCCACCCGCGGGAGAATTTCTAAAAATCCCTTCTTAGTGTGCATTACCATGGCGTACCCTACTAAAACGCAGATAAAAACAAAAAATTGCATCTAAAATAGTACAGTAGAAGCCGTTTTTCCGGTTAAACCTTAATGCTCTCCCTCACCCCCCACGGGGAAATTTTTAAAAATCCCTTCTTAGTGTGCATTGCCATGGCGTACCCTACTAAAACGCAGATAAAAACAAAAAATNATGGCCATGGAACTTTCAAGTTCCCTCTTGTATCTTTGTCCAGATTAAAGAATTTGTGTTGGACTATTGGTTGCCAGAATTTTGATGGTGTACCTGTATAAAAATCTTTTTAAAAAAAGAAATATGTTTTTTATGAGAGTATATCAATAAATAACCAGCCAAAGCAACAGTGTGGAATGTTCTTATTGGCTGGTTATTTATTGATCCACCCTTATATTTCTAATTCTAATTTTGAAAATTTAATCTAAAAAATTGTTTAATCTCTAATATTTTCCAACGTATAATATAGTATTTTCCAATCATGCTTATAAGATTTATTAATTTTTAATGTAGGCTTTTGCATCATTATTGATGAAAATCAATGTGAATCTTTGAAACTATGCTCAAAAGATACTGATCCATCTCATATCATTCATTGGAAAAACAATTCATTTCCTTTTAATGTTGAAGAAAATACTCCAGTTTTTGTCTTTGCAAGACAAGGAAAGAGCAGTAGAGTACAAATTTGGAACTTTGATCAGTTATGTAAAAGCAATAAAAATTTATCAGAATTTAGTGTGAAACATATCGCGAGTGACTTCATTTTACCAAAAAATGGTATCCAAAATGAATTATCTAATCATGCTATTTTATTAAATAAATGCTGAAGAACTACAAGTCTGTAAGTAATTACTTTAATATTTAATTATTATTTATTTTTGTTTAAGATTGTATTTTATTAACTATATATTCACAAACTTTCAATGATATGTTTAGGCATTTAAATCCATAAAAAAGAAAAAACAATTTATTGCTTGTAAATCTAGAAACATTTTGTTAGATATAACTGCACAAACTTCAAATTTTCTTTTGTAATATATACAAAATGGACAATTTCAATAACTAATACAATATATAAAGTTTTATGAAGAACAGTACATTTTGCATTACAAAATTTAAATGTTTGATTATGGTAATTAAAAAAGCATTTATTATTATTAATACATTTATGAAGTACTGTAATTTCCTGAAGAGAAGAATATGTTTATGTAATAAACTGTCAATATTAAATATGGTCTAATATATATCAGCATAATATATAATACATGCATATACACTATTTATGTGTACAGTACAGGGTATCCCAAAAGTCTGGACACAGTAATATAATGTCTTGTCTCTGCAGATGATGGCAGACCAAAATAATGGGAATATGTTATGATGTGTGTCTAATCCAATGGTAACCATTAAGTTGACCTGGAAGGGCATTTTTAAGGTCATTCAAAAAACATCTTTAAAACTGTGCATCCAAACTGCTTTTGTTTTATCTTCATGTCTATATACCAAACAAAAGCAGATTCTTACTGATTTTTGTATGGCCTACAATTTTATAGTTGACATTTTTGGTCTCTGATGCATGGTTTTAAAGATTTTTTTGAATGACCTTAAAAATGCCATTGGTGTGAAATTCTCTTCAATGGCATTTTTAAGATCATTCAAATATGTATTGATGTGTGCCTCATTCAATGGTCACCATTGGATTAGGCACACATCATAACATATTTCCATTGTTTATTTTGGCCTGCCATCATCTGCAGAGACATTACATTGTGTTTCCAGACTTTTGGGACATCCTATATATAATGAAGAAAACTAAAAATCTCATCCATCTTAAGAAGGTACAGTTATGTGGTAGGTACAGAAATTCACAAGTTAGTTTACAGTTTCACAGACTTGACACAGATACTATTATGTTACTAAATATAACATGGGAATACCTTTTCTAATTTTTTGTCCAAATAATTCAGATCAGATCAGGAGAGGATTCTGTTTGATCGCATTACATATTCTTAAAGTTTCAAATATATGGAGAGAATTTTTTTTGCTTTTTATAGTTTTTTTTATAAGTGAGATGAAGAAAACTGAAGCTCCAACTTGAAACACCCATGAAAACTCAAAAGATTTCATATTAAATTTAGGATGATAAGAGAATTTCTCACTTTGCTGTCATTCTATGACTCTAACTTATTTTTTATAACTTGCCTTCATGAACATAGCAATGTATTGGGTCACTGATTTCCACTTGATTATTCTATTGTCAAATGCAAATTGATTGAAAAGTTTCCACTTATTAAATATTAATATTCAATAAATACTATTTGCTTTATAGATTTTTAGCCTACATCAGAACTATTTTAAAATAGCTTTTCAGACATTTTATTTACATTTTACATTCATATACTGTACATATGTAGTACAAATAGATACTAGTCAAATTGAATTTGAAATTAAATTTGAGTATTTCGTAGAATAACAATAAATACTAAATGTAGCAATATACCTGGTAAATACAAAAAAGAGATTTTGACAGTACCTTAATTAAAAGATGATTTTGTAACATTTTTCTAAATAATTGATTTTATTCTTTTTACTAATATTTGCTGCCATTAAATATTAATTGAATGCTTTATTTTTTATTGCTAAATAATTGGTAACATTTTAACATTTAACTCAGAAATCAGGCACAAAATTGTCTCAGAACATAAGTTTTGTTTGAGTGTGTCCTCGAAAATCTGGGACCAATCATTTTATTTTATTTTATGTAAAATATTTTCGCAAAAAAAGAAAACAAGATTAATATTTTCTTCGTGTGAAGCATTAAAGTTCAAATAAATATTTGATATTTTGATGTAATAATCAGTGGCATGCCGTCATTGGAAGTGGTGGATGCTCCGCTTCCCTTGTATTTTATAAAAAATAAATACACATTAATTTTCATTATATGAAAATAATCGCACAATATTTTATTATAATCGCATTATGTATCTTATTACCAATTTCTATACTACACGTGAAAAAAAAAAGATAAGATTGCTATTGTATATTCAAATATTAGTGGCGGAGTAGAAGCGCCGTATTGTCAGCATCCAAAAAGCCAGATTCGCTCATGCGCTTTACGGAGCACCAACCTCACCCGCTTTAGCCGATGAAAGNGCTTTTTATAGTTTTTTTTATAAGTGAGATGAAGAAAACTGAAGCTCCAACTTGAAACACCCATGAAAACTCAAAAGATTTCATATTAAATTTAGGATGATAAGAGAATTTCTCACTTTGCTGTCATTCTATGACTCTAACTTATTTTTTATAACTTGCCTTCATGAACATAGCAATGTATTGGGTCACTGATTTCCACTTGATTATTCTATTGTCAAATGCAAATTGATTGAAAAGTTTCCACTTATTAAATATTAATATTCAATAAATACTATTTGCTTTATAGATTTTTAGCCTACATCAGAACTATTTTAAAATAGCTTTTCAGACATTTTATTTACATTTTACATTCATATACTGTACATATGTAGTACAAATAGATACTAGTCAAATTGAATTTGAAATTAAATTTGAGTATTTCGTAGAATAACAATAAATACTAAATGTAGCAATATACCTGGTAAATACAAAAAAGAGATTTTGACAGTACCTTAATTAAAAGATGATTTTGTAACATTTTTCTAAATAATTGATTTTATTCTTTTTACTAATATTTGCTGCCATTAAATATTAATTGAATGCTTTATTTTTTATTGCTAAATAATTGGTAACATTTTAACATTTAACTCAGAAATCAGGCACAAAATTGTCTCAGAACATAAGTTTTGTTTGAGTGTGTCCTCGAAAATCTGGGACCAATCATTTTATTTTATTTTATGTAAAATATTTTCGCAAAAAAAGAAAACAAGATTAATATTTTCTTCGTGTGAAGCATTAAAGTTCAAATAAATATTTGATATTTTGATGTAATAATCAGTGGCATGCCGTCATTGGAAGTGGGGATATTCCCTTGTATTTTCTAAAAAATAAATACACATTAATTTTCATTATATGAAAATAATCGCACAATATTTTATTATAATCGCATTATGTATCTTATTACCAATTTTTATACTACACGTGAAAAAAAAAAAGATAAGATTGCTATTGTATATTCAAATATTAGTGGCGGAGTAGAAGCGCCGTATTGTCAGCATCCAAAAAGCCAGATTCGCTCATGCGCTTTACGGAGCACCAACCTCACCCGCTTTAGCCGATGAAAGCCTAGTACCTCGGGTGGATGTTACACGTATACCGCATCCAATTCTATCCAGGACCGGTTCTGGGCTGTTAGCCGCCTGCCCGCTAGATATTTGGCCGCCCTCGCCCGATTACGTGAATCGCGAATAGATTTATAACTTAACCCAACCGATAAGAATTTACTGGTATGTTTTTATGATAGTTCTGTATAGTTGACAGGAATTTAAAAAAATCCATTAAAATATTTGATATATTTATTCCGCTCTCCGATTTTATATTACTCACGGATTTCAATGTTAAACCAGTGAT